AGTCAGATCCTACTCATAGTGATCCCTCCTTGGGTTTCCAAGGCAGTATCACTAAGGAAATAGATTGCCCTATATTCCTTCCGAGGAGTGGCTGGTGGGTTTGAACCGCCAGCCTTCTGGTTAGCAGTCAGATGCCTTAAGCACTATGCCACCAGAGCTCCCATATACACATATAGATATATACAAAGTTTAAGCATTAGGTGCCAGGGGTCCTATTTCTTTGCCTTCCTCCTCTCCCATTTACATGAAATACTCTCATTAAATTTGTTTCTTTAATTTAAAAGAAAACAGGCAAATAATTCAGAAAAGAATTATTTGAATATGATGCATTTACTGGAAGCACAAGTCATATTTTATAAGTTGCTTTGGGTATGAAAATGAGTGAATTATTTTCATTGCTGTTACATTATCAAGCCCTTCTAGAAATCCTATTTCAAAATCACCATTTATGAGATGAAGACAAGAAAATCGTATTACAATGGTGAAAAAAACATCCTTTGACACTTAAGTGCCTCTCCCTGTTGAGTTTCAACAAGATGGAATATTAAATATTAAAACCAGGTTCTAGATGTACCCTTTACCACTATTCAGACGCAATGTAAATATTAATAAAATTAAATAATATTAATAAAAATAAAATAAATTCATTAAATTAAATAGATAATATTAAATGCAATGATAGAAACATTTTTGAAGAGAAGAAAAACTGGAGAAAAAAGTCCCATGAATTATTTGAATCCAGTTGTGGGGAAAAAGAAGAAAATCATCATTAGTTGCTCTTAAACATTGTTTCAGTGGGATAAAACCTGTAAAATTTCAAATTATGAAAATTGGTTATACATAATATATAATTAGAATAGCTGTTAGACAGAGGTCCAAAACATTTTCAAGTTAATACTAAATAAATGTCTTCAAAATATATAACTAAATTCCAGGGTTACAAATAGTTAATTTTCTGAAAGATGAGTCAAAAATCAAACCAGGATAAAGAGACTACAAAGACTGGGATCAACATCCTCTCTTGGTGATATTGAATGTAAGATAAGTTTGTCTTTCAGTTCTGGCTTCACTGTTGTACAGTTTCACTTTGGCAACTACTTTCTGCAGTCTTCTGAGCTTTGATCCAGTTTCTTGAATTTTCCTTTGGGATCCCACTTTCAGTTGCTTCTTCTCTTTGCCCTTCCTATTTCTGGCAAAAGGATTCTTGAAACGCTTCTATTTCTCTCTTACACTCCTTTCTCCACTCCAAACTTTTCAGTGCAACACTCAAAAGGCATCTCAAACTAGAAAAGAAATGTGATCCTTGAAACCAACTAGACCAAGGTTACAGTCCCAGTCAGTAGTAGCAGTGGGAGGTGAGGACCAGCGTTACCTTTTCTTTACTTACTTAATAAGTTTCTTACAAAGATTAGAGGACATAAAGTACCAGTAGAGAGTTATAACTTGATGTGAGCTAAGATAATTGGAGTTGTCTGATGCCTAGATTGTCTGGATCATAAACCAGTTTCAATAATTAGTGTCTCATATTGAAGACCTATGAACTCACAACCCTGGACACTTCATATTATGACAACTAGTTTATTAGCTTTTCAGGAGGGATCTCTTGCATAAGTTATCTTATGTATACATCTGTTCCTTGAGCATTCCAAGCTTTAAGGTCTTTGTCTTTGCTCTCCTCTTTGCTCTTGCCCTGGAGCTCTATAAGAACTAGCTCCTTCTTATCATTAAAATACCAGTTGTCTATGGAGTTGGTTTTGACCCCAGGGGACCCCAGGTATGTCAGGGTAGAACTCTGCTCTATAGAATTTTCAGTGACTGATTTTCCGGAAGTAGATCACAAAGCCTTTCTTCAAGGTACCTCTCAGAGGACTCAAGCCTCTAAATTTTCAGTTAGCAGCTGGCACATTAACTGTTTGCACCATCCACAGACTCCTTAAGTTCCTCAGTCAAATGCCTGCTCCTCACTCTTGCGCATTCTGTCTATGAAGCGTCCTGCATATTCCTGTCACTATTACATATACCAATATGCTGATTTAATAACTAGCTCCTATGGGAAAAAAAAGAATATTCCTGATTTGTAGCATTTGCCTATATCTCTGGTGTAAAAACTCCCTCCATGGACAATTTCAAGTTTTCAATACAATGTCACTGAATGGAGAAAAAAACGAAAAACAAACTCACTGCTGTCCACTCAGTCCCGACTCATAGCGACCCCTCCTTGGGTTTCCAAGGCAGGATCACTATGGAAATAGACTACCCAGTCTTCCTTCTGAGGAGTGTCTGGTAGGTTTGAACTGCCAGCCTTCTGGTTAGCAGTCAAATGCCTTAGGCACTACGCCACCAGAGCTCCTACTGAATGGACAGTTGGGAAGAAATGCAAACAACAGGGCCCTATGCTTTTTTTTTTTTTTTTAGTTTATTTTTTTATTGTGATTTGGGTGAAAATTTACAGAGCAAATACACTTTCTATACAGCAGTTCACATACACTTTGTCTCATGACATTGACCACAATTTACCACAATGCAACATCTCCCCTCCTACTTCTTCCCAATAGTTACCTCTTCCCTGTGTCCATCCCTCCATGCACTCTTGCCCCCTGAGCTGTCTCCTTGTGCATAAGCAGCCTTTCTTTCTCCCATGCTTGTTCTTTCCAAGGAGTGTATCTACCTCAAGTAAATGTTCAACTCAAATGCCTGTCTATTGTTTGGCTGGAATCCACAGGTATGCATTCAATTCCAGACCTGAAGGGCAGCTAGGGGCCATAGTCTCAGTGGTTCCACCAGGTTCTATCAGGCCAGCAAACCTGCCCCCACCTTTTTTTTCCAAATGATTTTGAGTTTTGTTCCACATTGTTCTCCCTCTCTATCCAGGATCTCCTACATAGATCCTCTTCCAAGTGGTTGACATAGTAGCTGGACACCATCTAGTTCTTCTGGTCTCATAGTGATATAGGCTACAGATCTGATGATGTACCAGTTGCTAAGACTAATTGTTTCCATGAATTTTTGGTTTTCTTCATTCTTCTTTACTCTGGACGAGAAGAGACCCATCGTTGCATCTAGATGGCAGCTTGCAAGCTTTTAAAATCCCAGTCACTACTAGCCACAGTAGGAGGTGGAACAATGTTTTGTGTAGTATGTTATGCCAATTGAGCTTGATGTCCTCTGCAACTATGGTCCCGAGCCCACAGGTTCAACTACTCAGTCCCTCTGGGTAGCTGGCTCTGACCAAGCAGTGACTACAACCATGTCCCTTGTCAGCTCAACTATACACCTGGGAATTCAGATCATACACATACAGTTATAGGACTACTGTCTGCCAACCCTATACATGTTCTTGGGTACACTCCCCAAATCATAGACATACCTAATAGTTCAGCCTGTCCATCCATCTATCCATCCATATACTCATGTTTGCCTTCACTGACAATGCCATACCATATGTGCAAAAGGGTTCATCTTTGTTGTCTGTACTTCCCACATACCTCTCTGTATCTTTCTTTCCTCAATACCACACATTGATCACTCACATTAGGTACATTGCCCTTCTCTTCACCCTAATCAAAACTTACCTCTATCTATCTAACAGTGTTCCCACCCCTCTCCTCCCACCTCTGGTAACCAACAAAGAAAATGTTCCATAGATAAACGTTTCCTTGACTTTTACAATAATGGATTAATACAACATTTGTCCTTTTGTGATTGACTTATTTCACTCAGTGTAATGTCCTACAAGTTAATCCATGTAATGCGGTATTTTTCAGACTCTACATTATTCTTTAGGGTTGCATAGTATTCCATTGTGTGTATGTACCATAATTTGGATATCCGTTCCTCAGTTGATGGACACCTAGGTTGTTTCCATCTTTTGGCTATTG